TTTGACCTGATCCCTCTGACATGTAAATATCATTCAACTCACCTTCTCCTGACATGCAACTATCATTTAAATCACCTCCTTCTGACATGTAACTATAAGTTATAACTCACCTCCTCCTGACATGTAACTATCATTTAACTCATCTCCTCCTGATATGTAACTATCATTTAACTCACCTCCTCCTGACATGTAACTATCATTTAACTCACCTCCTCCTGACATGTAACTATCATTTAACTCACCTCCTCCTGACACGTAACTATCATTTAACTCACCTCCTCCTGACATGCAACTATCATTTAACTCACCTCCTCCTGACATGTAACTATCATTTTCATCGTCATTTTCACCATCTTCATCATCACGATTCAATAAATTATTCACTGCCATGTTTACATCCAAATTCTGTAAAATTATACATTCATATCAAAATAGCACAGCACGTACTCCTAATATATGAAACCACTGTTCATTGTTGGTGTGACCATCTATATTCAGTGATGCAATTCCATGTAACTTTCCAGTTTTAACAGATTCAAAGAGATTAAAATTATATTAGCAATGAGTGACATCAATACAAGATGACAGAAAACATGACCAATAGAATAACATGTTCTGCTGACATATGGTTCAGTTAGACATGTTTTCCTACAATGTATATTATTCTAAATATACTTACAGTCCTTTGTAATTCTCTGATGATAGCAGCTCTACTTTTACCCTGTAAAACACTTTGTGCTTGAGCTACCAACTCCTCAGGTACAACAGAGGCAGGTACTACAGGCCGGGACCCAACAATCACTCCCTGTGCACCTCGTCCTCTTGTCTGCACGGCACGTACCACACGTCCTCTGTTGCGTGCTGGTGCTCTTGAGCTACTGACATTGGTGCGTGACGTGCAAGCACCGCTTCCAGAACCCCAGCGACTAAAATACAAATTAGGATTCTTATGTTGCTTCCTTTTGTAACGTCTGATTGTTATTTTAAGAGCATAAACACTATGGTAGTAATCTTGACAAAAGTTATGGAATGTGCTAATGAAAAGAAAACTTACCCCAGAGAAGCGCCAACTCCACCACTTCCTTCAGAACCAAGAAGTAACCATGGACTGTCCCCACTGCGTGAACTTGACCTCCATAACACACGTCCGGTTGTACTTGTCTTTGCTTTAGAACTACAATTATAAAAATTGTGAATAGTTAATAGTCTATTTAATTTTTCACAATAAGTTCTGAAATATTAAAACACAGGTCATTAATGACATAGTCCGTGTTTGTATTATATGACCTCATATGTAATGTATGTGTGTTCAAACTTGACTAGTTTAGACATGTCGGCCATTTTAGATTTGATGGTGGCAAAAAAGCATGTGCATTGTCCAATATATCTGATGAATGTGTGAAATCTGATTGGTCTAGGCATGCCCTTTCATAGACAAAATATCCGGACATATGTTCACAAACAAGACCAGTCCCCATCCAGTTTTCAGCAACTGTCAACATTAGTGTTGAATAATTATTTACACTTGTGACAGACAACCAGTATATTTGTGCCTATGATATTCATAATACATTTCTCGCAGGCAAATGATGAACAGCCATCTTGAATCAAACTCTGAAGCGACAGACAATCATTCATACGATAAGCTCTGCAAAGTCGACAGCGGAGCTAATAAAACAGAATTGAATAGTATAGTAGTTAAAGACAATAGAAAAGTATTAATATTTTACCTTCTGCTGACATCTTTTGTTAAGTCTAGTTTATCTATATTAATAGCATAGCTGACTCTACATACACGACCATCCTGAAATAAACAATACAACTTGTCAGCACTCAGTGGTGCACTTTCACCCACAATTCAACACATTTCACATGCTGCTTGCATATTTCATTATCCACATATTTCTTTTTGATGAATTTGCAACAGTATGATCGGATTGAAAGCTAACAATCAGCAGTGTTCCAAAATAGCTGGTAGGCAGCCTAATTTGCATGCATTTGCATATTAATTTGGATATCATTTGCGTACAATATTTTGTCATTTATGTACAGTTTTTCACAGTTCTTATTTTTTTTAATTGAAACATGTTTACCAATTACAATCTTTAGAAATAAAAACAAATGAATATAATAATTTGCAGTTGTTGAAATCAAATCCATATTTTACGCAATGCTCAGTTTAAAGTTGGTGATTTTATATGTTCTCAAAATAAACTGCGGCATGAAATGCAATGTGTTCGATTCACAAAGTCAAGTACAAATAATATTTGCATTATATTGTAGAAAATATACAAGGTCAGCTATGATATGTTGCATGGAATAAAAAAAAATAATAGCAATATGTCTCACTGTTTAGGGATGACGTCAAACGATCGATGTCGGATAAAAAACTTATTTGCTTTAGTTTGGGGATGGGGGGGTGATGGGTTTTGAGCTCAAAAAGTTTCCATCCTACAAAAACAATTTTATTTTTTAATGAAGTCAAAACAATCTTGGAGTATTTGTAGTTCGTTTTTTTTCTATCCAATCATGGACAGAAATAACCGAAAGGGAAAAAAAAACAAAACATCCAAGACGAGAAAATGGTTTTGTTCGAGAGTAAATATGTGCGTCAAATGCATTTGTAAAGTTGTTTTACACCCACCCGACAACCAACTGCTACGCAATACTACTGTCCGATTATCAATTTGTATTTAATGGTGAATGTAGTCTGACGCCATGACCAATATTTATCAATTAAGTTGCAGTGGGGGTGTGTGGAAAAAAACTAAAGGAATTAAGTTTTTTATCCGACATCGATCTTTTGACGTCGTCCCTTACTTTTTGACTATTGCCATGAATATACTTGATAACAACTTGCAGATTTCCAGTGGTCATTGTTTATATCTTGACTCAAAAGCAATACTTGAAACAATAGCAAGGTTTGGCCACTACTCTTTGCTATGGTTTAAAAACAATTCCACCTGATGTACGTTGGTGAGCAAGTGCTGACAGTAACTATGCGGTCACTTTATAAGCGAGCATTACTTGGAGAGCACTGATCAATGTTCTGAGATGGGAGGAAATTGAAAGAAAAAGTCAAGCCGAACAACACAATGACCCCTCAAGAAAAAGCTCCACAAATGTAGGAGAATGCAATTTACAGTTTTTCGCTTTTCATTCTCTAGATATTCAACTTTTTATCAGTATTAAGTAGTCGGCCATCTTGATTCTCAAGCAAGGAATTATGGGTACATAAATTGATGAAAAGCTGAATTTCTAAAGAATGAAAAGTGATATAAAAAAACTGTAAATTGCATGTTCTTACATTTGCCCAGCTCTTTTATCTGGGAGTATTGTGTTCTTAGCCTTGACTTTTTCTTTAAAGTCATTGGTCTTGCGTGTTTTAGTGGGTAAAATACAACAAAGGTGTTTTGTATATATTGCAGGGAACATCTCAACAAAGCTGTCAAAACTGATTTAGAAACATTGAATAAGTATCTGAATATTGATTAATTCTTTACAGTTTAATTAATATGTCTTTGTAAAACATAATAAATTCCAGCCACCAAGATTTCAAACTTAGTAGCCAATGGATAAAGACAAGACATAAATGTTATAGTCCTTGTCTATACTGTATTTGAAAGTTGAGAAGAGATACCTATGACCCTTTGTTTTTGAGCATACTTAATTCATTTTATCATGCAGCGGCCATTGCTGGCTAATTTGCATTCCAAGCCCCGCTTTTAACCTCACTGCAAGACTTGCTATCAATAAGTTCTGTAATTGTCAAACCAAGGCTTGAATGCAAATAGACAGCAATGGCCATGGCATGATAAAATCTAATTTAATTAAAATTACCATTTAAAAAAAAAAAAAAATTAAAAATAATAATTTCGTTGCTTATTTTAGTTTTTAGATGCTTTAAAAAAACAGGAACAATGGCATTTTGCTGCATTAATAAATTAATTTCCAGTGTTCTCCCCAGACTCCATGCCAAGCGTTGCAGGTAATTTGCATAACAATGCATCTAATTTGCATAATTCATTTGCATAATAATTTGTTTATCCAACAAACATTGTGATACATTAACTACAATAAAGAAGAGATATTTGTTATAGCTCATATATTTTATATCATTTTATATCACTTCATTGTATTTTGTGTGTGCATCAAGTCAAAAGTTTGAAATAGAATAGCAAAAAATGTATTGTCATGAATATATTGTTATCCATGGAGGTAACTGGTTCATCATTATTTTGTGTACAACAAGTACAGTCAGTTTTAATGCCCATGTCACTGTCAGTTCATATGACGCGGGGAAAAACATTTTTTGGTTAAATTTGTAAAGTCTGCCAGATTGCGGGTTATCGAAGTGTGACTTAGAAATTAATAAATCAATAATGAAATTTATTTTCTACAACGGCATTTCAAAACTCATGTCAGCGATTTTCCATTCATCTATCTATACCACGGTTACTAACCATGATCTATACCTTATGCGTAACACTACGATCACCATGGGTATTTTCTGCTGCTGTTGCGATCATCTGTCCCTGACTTTTTGGTTTAAAAATACACAAATTTAGAATGTTTTGTTAATTAAAACAATTCATTGACGATTATCTTAGAAATTACATCAAAATCGCCAACGAGATGTTGTTTTTAAACATCGTGGAAAAACATGCACTTAGCGCCGCCATCTTTGTTACCTCGATCGGAATCCCCTTTGTAACCCAGCATGCATTGGTCTCGGTGTCACACCATGCGTTACGTCGCTTCAGTGGCGTTCCTAGGTAATGAGGCACTCGATGAATGAGGTATTTCTAGAGGTCAGGGTTCGTTTTTTCTTTGGCCCTCTCGTCTGCAGTTGAATAATTTTTGCTTCCATTTATTTACGATTTTTTCCCAATTCGACTTAATTTTACTTTTTTTTTTTTTAATTCTTGGTAATTTTGTCATCGGCGATGGAGTAGTAAAAACCGCAATTATCTGCAGTGCAGCAAATCGGGGTAGATCTTCCCGACGCAATGGGCAAATTACTACTTTGCAGGCCCTGATCCCCTTGACATACTTCCTGTAGACTTCCGTTTTATCACTGTTTTTGTAAGGCTAACAAAGGCAGGATTACCCTTCGATCAATACATGTTATTGTTTTAAAGATGTGCAAGACGAGGCTGACACTTGTAAACAATACAACAACTTAAGCATCGCGAAAAGGATTTCAAGAATCGCGGGCGAAACGAAAGCGACGCGACTATTTGTGTAAGTGACGCGGGCCCGCGGTGCTTGAAAGGCCTGGGGAGAACACTGAATTTCTCATTTAATATGGGCAATAACACCTTACATCCAATTTACATATTTTGGATTTAGTTTCAGAAAAAAAAAAAATCAATACAAGACACATCCCCTCTTTGTGGTATGAAATAAATGATAGAATTTCCCTTTTTTTAATTAGGCAGCGGCCTTAATTAGACATTTTATGGTATTCTTATCAACATGTCGAGTTTCACTGATACCTACTGCAGACATCTGCATTTCTGACAAACATCAGGAAGGATGAAGGGCAAAATAGTACTTCCATGCAGCCTGAACTGAGACTAAAAGACCAGTGCAATAAAGGTGCTAAATACTCACCTCTAATAAAAAAGCAACATGGTTAGGTCCAAGTGCTATGTCTCTGATCACTTGATTTTTCAATGCTGGAATAGTTGAACTACAAAAACAGAACAGTCAGGAAATTAGATTTCAATTCTGCTTAGTTTCTAACACTGGAATACATTAACACATTAACACATCATCTGCTTACGCCATTCTTTCCCATGCAATTTTACTGCTTTCCATGGAAGCTTTCAGCAGGCGGTTTGATAATGTTCTGCTAATCAACACATTGTCATACATAAATAATGTAAATGTATACAACGCAATTGCTCCCAGGGATCTCGCCACACTGGTCAGCGGCGGTCGACCCCGACCGGCACTCGGAATTAGCGACCACCGCGGAAACGCTTCCGACCAGGACTATTGTCCGATTGTTATTATAACTAGTACTTGCGAACCGACACACATCCTGCCAGTCATGAACTATAATTTGTAAACAATAGACCTAGTTGTATGATGTGATAGCGGCTAGTCAATTTTGTGAAATTAGCACCTCTTTGTTTGTAAGTGAATACTTTCTGACGATAGACGCTGTCTTTAAATTGAAAGCTTCAAAATCAATTGAAGTGACATTTGGCATCACTACGGAGTAGAAGAATTATTGGTATAACCGCTGTATAACATCGCACAAGTAAGTTATGTCACGTCGTAACTTTGATAATCATTTGCAAGTTTTATGTGTTCGTCCATTACTGTGAATGAAAATGTTGAGAAGTTGATGGTATGAATAATAAATTAGAACAATACGCCACATAATTACATGGTCGATTTTTTGAAGGAGAATGTTTTTGGAGTAAATAAAATCATGAAAGTCGTGAACATATTCCTGTCTGAAACTTTTCAAATGCGTTTCATTCAACCTATTACAATAGACATTAATATTGCAACAATAATTTATTTGTTTCTGTTTTTAGTTTGCAGCATTTGCATTTCGAATACATTTCATTTTTAAATTCAAACTCTTCTAAATTGTGAAACATATTGTTTTAACTCCAATAAAAAAAAATATTCGCACTGTGACCGAGCTCATTAATATTCATATACTCATTGATATTCATGACCAACCGGCACTCCCGTTTCAAAAAATAAACCACCATAATTTAATTTTCTCTACACTTTTTCAAAAATGTTGAGCAAGATCTGTAACCAAAGGTAATTTATGCCAAGTGGTCCAATATTAACAAAGAAATTAAAGAAAAATACATGAAATATGCAAAATTTAGCAGGCAAAATTAAAACATTTAATTTCAGGGGAAGTTTTATGAATTGGGCTAGTTAAAAACAATTGTCAAATTTAGATTAGTAAACTTTTCACTGTGGTTCATCAAAGACGTCACAATGACTTTACAGATGCCTTCAAATTATTATCAACTTTCAAAGAGCAACAAAATATCATTACATAGATAATTTTTTGGTTCACTGCGAGAACTTGCATAGTTGCGTGAAAGGCCAAGACCGAATGTCTGTCACAAATAATGAATGATTTGATTTCGAACTTGAATTTCTTATTTTATAAGATGTGGAACTTTCAGAGGCGAGTATGGTATTCAGATATACACAGTATATAGCACATTCGTAAGTGCGAAAATACACGAAAACTACTTTCACGTTCGTCGAATAATACATGATGGTTTGACGCTATGACCTTTGTTTGTCCTGATTTTTATGTTCGATTTTACACGTGCCGCTGGGAAAATGGTCTATTGTCACAATAACTGTTAGAGCAAAAATAGTAGCCCAGTAACTGTGCAGTGTTCCACCATTCCTATAAGACAGGCAAGGCAGTCCTACTTGCACATTGTAGTCATTTCTCATTACTATTCACATTTATGTAAATGTCATACAGTATGAAATATCCTTAGGATCTATATTCACAGAGTACCATAGTTTAAATGCTATGTGCAACATTTTAATCATCTCAAATGTTTATGTCAACACCAGTTTCATTGATCCATGATCATACCATGAATCAACGAATCAAACCTGTGATTAACACAGTAACGTATTATGAGTTCTGACAGTGGCATATAGCAAGTGGAATACAGAACATTCCTGGCTACAAAAATAAGATAACTGTACAAAAATTGCAAAATATCTGGACTACCTTGTTGATCCCTGTCTATTGATCTTCTCTGCCACCTCTCTCAATCTGAAAATAAAAACATCAACATAGTTTGAATTTCATTGTGTCACCTCTTAGTTTAAGAAGTAATTAATTCATTTAATTCTTGATGCCAGTTATAAACAGCATGATGACATCAGGCTTTATTATACTAGTGTCATGTGATTACCGGTAATAATATAGGTACATGTACAAACTTATCTCAATATCCTTGCGTAATATATTCATTAGTTAAAATAAAATACAAGTTTTGGACATTTTGCAAAACATTACTATTCATCTGGGCAGCTCATATAAAAATTAAATTTAAAATCTATTTTATAGGTTTTCATTAAACATTTAACTTTAAATCTTTCATCCACTGACTAAAGTGAGACATTTCTTGGGTCACATCCAACACAGAAACGAAACAGACTGAACAGTCTCTAATGTGTTTTCCCCTTCCTGGAAGCAAATGGCCTTGTTATAAAATATATTAAGTCAGAACAAGATGATGCCTAATTGAATGTCACTTTCAACTTTACAATCGCAAATTTAGGATCACAAACTTTACATTTTAAAATTCAGTCTTTATTTTAGACATGGTAATGCAAAACTTCACATTGCAACTAGTAATTAATTAATTTTATAGTAAACACGAATACAAAAACGTAGTCGTACCGTGTATATATAAATTCACAATCTACATTCATCCAAGCACTAACTAACTATTAGAAAGTCACGCGACCAAACATGTCTACTGCCTATGACGGCACGTGTATTGATTTCTAAAACACCCGAATATATTACAGGAAGAAGACATTTTAAGTATTTGACCTATTTTGTACTGAATATAGTGGCTTAGCAGTGTTTAAGGAAAGCAGTTTTGATTCAAATTGTTCTCTTGATAGCGTGGTATCGACATCAAATCAAATACTTTACCGGCGAATATAAATATATATTACAACAATGAAAGTCGCCATGTTGGGAAAACAAACGAAAATTCGGATTGCACTGGGAAAAACGCATATTCGGTCAAAAGAAGGGCACTATTTCCAACCAAACTCAATAAACACTGATCATCTGGGTTTCAGGGTAAAATATATGCGTGAATCTCGAATATTCGAAGCTCCCAAGACCTGGTGAGTAAATATTACGACAAACGGTTTTGGTGAACAGCTGATCCACCAGCAAAACTCGGTTCTGTAACGACACGAAACGTACCTGTCATTTAGTTGGTCTTCTGTTCCAGGAAGTGGGTGCACGACAAAGTGAACGGACGTCATAATGAACTGAGAATGTAAAATATATATTTTCAACACGGAGTGAGAATACCATAGATCGAAATACCGGTTAAAATCAAAGAGATTTCATAGCAAGCTTGACGGTGACGCCATTTTGGATTCCCCTCATGGTGATATACAACGAACCCACTGATTGGTTCAAGGGACAACTGCTAACTATCATTACTCAACTTGACCATTATTGGTCAAGAGTTATGAAGTTGAACTACACGAAATAAGCCGAAGTGCCTTACTTGTGTAATATTATCGATTAATCTCCAAATAACAGATTACTTCATTCATTTATGATATCCAATTTTATTTGTCACTGCTGACACTATTACAAGTACATTTCAAAATTAATATGCAAACGCAACTGCGTTTCTGTGTTTACATATTAAATGGTGTTTACATTTCACTTAATTAAGTGACCACCACCCTTAGTCAAAAGATAGGGACCAATCAATAAAAACTAGGGGTGGTAGATTATGAGAAAAAAAAATACTTTGCACAGAGGAAATGTTGGAAACATATTGAACATGGAAAATTAGAAAACAAAATAAACTACTAGTATATTTTAATTGTTGAAACATACAAATTATACACAAAGAAAGAAAAAAACATTTTCTCTTCCAGATTTTCTAATGATCAACCTCCTGACCCGTGAAGTGATCACTAGTGTACAATTGGTCATTTTGCCAGACTTCTTTCCGACGGTACAACATTACGTATAAAATCTAAAAATAATAATAATTATACACTCTTTAATACGAAAGAGGTTTGACGGTGTGTTATTCCCAGCGACATATTGTCACTGCGTGTCAATTTCAATATCATCGCCCTGTATCATAAGTATAAATACATTCTGTGGAGACACAGACATCGTATGTAGTAATTATATCAATTTCACAAACTTATAAATAGGTAATACGCTGTTAACAAAAATTAGCTTAGAAGACGCACATACAGCCATGACAACTTTTCCTGCAAATAAAACACCTGGTAATGATGGACTTCATCATTAAAATCATCTTGAAAAAGGTAACTGCCAAAAAAAGGAGTTATAACTCTTTCAAAAAAGAAAAGGAAAGTCCGCCAGTTAATTACAAAAATATCACATATGAAGGCCCGATTAGCGTCTGGCTAGAAGAAAAGAATGAATGCTGCCCGACATAATTCACTAGAACCAATCGTTATTTGTCGCGAATAGATTCACTGGCGATGTAGTGGGATTAGTATACAACATATTCTGGAATAATCATAGGAACCAAATATTCCGGTCAAACATTTGACTATTGGTTTTAAAAGAGCTTTCGAATCAGTAGAATGGCTTTATACTTGCAAGACGTATACTTTCCGTCTCAATTATAAACAGTGGATGAAAGTTATTTACCAAGTATGAAATTCATGCTGACCATGGTCTCGCTGATACACTAATTGGAGCAATGAGATCGTGGTCAGTCAGACTTTCATGAACTTGATAACAAATAATTCCGAAAGTTGAAGTGTTATTATATATGCACTCATGATATGTATATTTTTGAATTTGGAAAATTTGTTTAGCGCGAAATTTCACGGAGCCCATAGATGTACGTGTTGCACAGTTGGGTGGGACGGGCGAGTCACTAAATGTACTATATATTACCGCTACTACCTCAACAGCCACGTGTATCGTCTCGCCTCTGTGGTTTGTACAGTGTATCACCTTGCAGTATATTTCAAACAATGACATTTCAGAGAAATGTAAACTTGGAATGTTAGCTTCGAATGTAAGCTTCTCTAATAAAACTCCAATTAATAAATACATAACAATTAGGTCTTACACGATCAACAGTTTCCAATCAGTTGCAAGCAATACAGTGAAAAAAATAATGTCACATAAAACGATTTATTTTCATTTTATTTTATTTAATATGAAGACAAAATCAGACTACATTCTGCGACAATTAGCTATCAACTCTTTAGTATTCAACGTTGTAGTTGACGCGACCAATATTGATTGCACCCCTTGCCAAAGTCAGATCACAAAAAGAATCATACTATACACACTGCCAAAATAGCTAACCCAATCAAACCTTCTAAACTTAAAGGGTGGTAGTCGTTGTGCCACGCATGCGCGAGATATATGGGTCTCGTGTAAACAAAAATGGCGACTTTGACTGTTGCGCAGATCAACGAGTACAAACTGAGACGTTACCAAGTTTTAATGGGGTGTTTTTAGGTGATTGGAGTTATCGAAAGAGTCAACGGCGGTGCAGGTCGCGCCCAGGTCAAACCTCATACTTTTCATTAAAAGAGCGCATTGGATTGTGGAAAAATCAATGTTTATCAACACAAATGTCGCACATGCGCAGCGCGACGACCACCTCCCTTTAAGTATCAATCGGAATTTAATTTGTTTTTGGGCCACATCATGCTCGTTTACGAGGCGTGTTTAAAATTTAAAAAAACATTTACTTTTAACATTCCCACAGCAGCAACAGGAGGAATACGTGCTATTGAAATTATTTCTCAAGTGTTAAAGTTAAAACTGAAACCGAAAGTATGATTTATGTAATTATAAATCCAAAATAACATTCAAAATCAGTAGTTAATTTTTGACATCAATGAGGCTAAAAACTAAAAAAAAAAAAAAAGGAAGTCATCTACATATATTAGATTGGTACTGACCAACAAAAATATACCTCACTGAGAAAATATCGAACTGACCACAAGAGTAAAATCATTCAACGGCCATACTAGGTGCTTCGCAATGTATGGCTATCATGGTCACGTGATATTCGTGTTTTTTCCATATTTTAATGCTATAAACATTGAGGGTTTAAGTGGACATTTACATTACATAATTTGTACATTCTCATATTATAATAATTCACACATAATAACACTAATTTGTGACACTAGTTGCGTCCGCGCTCAGCTCCTTTGCACTGGCTAAAACGTAGGGGTAACCCCATGCTACGAAAACGTGAGAGAACGGTTAGCACGGGCCAAGAAACGCTGAATACGGGTTGAATCTGATCCGTTTTTAAGACACGGCCCAAATCCTTAGCACGGGCTAACGAAGAGTGCATGAACGCTGAGCTCGGGCTAAGCGCCCAAAACGCCATTGTACTATGTATGTTTATTTGGAAGATTTACTATTATATTCGTAACTATTTGGTATTCAAATAAATAGAACTAACATGTATACCTTCTATAGTTGAAAAGATTGTATATTTGATTGGGCATTTGTTGGCCTGTGATAACCGCCCTCCCCCGTGGGTGAACGCAATTGGATATAGCCGATATGCAAACAAATGAGAATATTAACCCATACTTGGTGTAGCCTGAACACGACTACTGTACTGTATATATAGTTATGTAAATCACACTATAAACCAATCAGATTGAAACAATATCATTACATTATAATTAATAGACAATAATTATATTTATTTATTTATTTATTTATTTATTTTTAGAAGTTTTTTATGTCTGACTACTGCTCCCAACGAACGACCCCAAACAAAAATCTTAAGCTATATTACAGTAGTATAAAGCACAGTTGTATAAAGCACACTGTAAGATAGTGTACAGTTGTGTAATGCATACTGTAATGTACTGTACAGTAG